GATTTGCAGTATTCACAGACTCATGGCCAGGCTAGCACTGAACAGCCCTGAATTAAAGTCTATTGAGGGCTGTTAAATGAAGCTGGTTGCTGGAGACTGTTGAAGGAAACACATTCTCACTGAATTGATTTAGCAAAATTAGGGAACCAGGCAAGACTATCTGCAACATTCGCACCCACCCAATTAACTATGGCACAAGTGGGAAGACTTTACTCCAAAAACGTGTGAAACCGTGGACGATCAAACAGTAGAACGTGCACATTGAGATAGTAACAGTAAAATCATTGCTTCGGATCCACACAACAACCCAGAGCAACCTAAATCAATTCCAGCTGTGTTGCACAGCATCAAGTAAGTGTTTTCTGATTATGACTTTTTTTTAAGTCAAATCTTTTCTTTACAATGTTTTAAACAGCTGGTTATTAATTTAAATAGACAAAACTAGAAATGGACTATATTTTAAACAGATCTACCAATTTACTATCAATAGCAGCAAATAAGATAACTTTCAATGGGGAGAATGCTCAATAAACAAAAAATAAATATGGTTATGAACAATTGCAGATTAGGCTATTTCTTGAAAATAATGGTTTTAACAAAATGATAATCACTGATGATAAATATATTACTTTGGGAAATAGGATGTATGTTGTTTAATTAAATTCTGTTTTTCAGGCACTCATTCTTGGATTTGTCAGTCACATCAGGGATTATTGAATTGGCACAAATCCTGGCTGAAGATCTAAAAACACTTGCTGAACTCTTAATGGACAGGACATTTGCTTCATACAAGCTCTCAGACAGTGTGAAGAAGACTATCCAAGACGAAGTACTAGAAGAAATACGAAGTGTCCTCTTCTCCCTCAACACTGATGAGGCCACAAGCAAGAGAAACAAAAGAGTATTAGGTGTGTTTGTTGGCTACTGGTCCAAAAAACACGCAAGGATGGTTGTCCAACATCTTGTAGCTCTGGAGCTCATATCTGTAACAGCAGAATCTCTCTTCAATTCACTGGATGGGCTTTTTGAAATGAGGACTCTCTCGTGATAACCTGGTGTCCATTTTAATGACTCTTGTGCTGTTATGAGGATGGGGACTCATGCCACCACCTTCATAATGCAGAAATAAATTGTGCAGTCCTTTTGAGCATTGGGTTGAGGCTTTGCTGTCAGACCTGCACACAGAACACAAATGGTCAGCTGACATAAATGACTGTGTCAGAGAAATTTGCAGCAAGTTTGGATTTCCATTTCTCAGCTAGAGTGCTATTTTCCACACTCTTGGATGTTAGTCTGGACACATCGCGCATGTGGGATGCATTGGTCATGTTCAACATTGACACAGGAGAAACTTGTCAGGGAGTTTTTATACTGCTTCAAACCAGAAGACCAGATCAACAGCAAAGGGAGGAATCTATCTGGGCCAAAGATGAAGTTGCTCAACCTGAAAGCGACAGAGGCCCATCTTGCAGCACCTTTTGTTGGCAGTGAGGCCTCGTCCATTCGGGGCCAACTAGGGAGGGAGCACACTGTGGTGAAAATCTTTAAATATAAGGTATCGTATGGCTTTATTTAAGTAAACAATTAAAATATGTCAACACAAGATGTTGTCCATGCAGAGGATAACATGTGAAAGTGTAATTAAACATTTATTTCCAGCATGGTCCTTAATATTAGACAAGACAAAATGACAAAACATCATCACAATACACAGTGAATTCATTAAAGAGAAAAAACACCATAATGTATGCAATTCTTAATTTAAAAGAAAAACAGTTCCTAAACGACAGTATGTCTCAACTAGTTTCTTAATAAACTTTATTTATAAAAGGTAATCCAAACTACAGCTGTGCGGGTGATCTTGCAAAACCACCTGTTGACAGTCTAACCCTGAGGACCCAGTCATGCTTAGACCCAGATGCACGAGGAAGACATCACATTCTTCTTCATCTCCAGAAGTTGCCAAACATGTTTCCAGCTGTGAAGCTGGGGAGAGCTGGATTTCAATGTGAAATACACAGGTGTGTATAAATGGTAGATGCTATTTACACAGATTCTGAGTAAGTTCATAATAATAGTTTGATTATTTTGCTAGTAATTGTATCATGTAGCCTGTTTGTAAGGAATTATTTTATTGGTAAATATAAGGAGCTTAACCTGTTGTTTCTCATCCTAGATATGCAAGTGGCATGGCTTCGCCTCAGATGACAGAGGAGACAAGAGGTGATATATGGTAGATTGGTGTGAGAAAGACCCAGAGGGACTTGGCACTCTGCAAGCTTGCACTAAGTGTAGAGACATATGGTCAAGTGGTCAAGTACAAACTGAAGGCCATGCAGGTGTTGGCCATTCAGCACAAATCCCGGAAGACAAAGGAGAATCCTGTTAATATACGGCTGTGCAACAGTACAGAGCTCTGCTCATTGATAAAGAAGAACTGAACAAACGGCCTTATCGCTGTGAGAAGTCAACATCCTTCACAATGTTGCAACATGGATATACTGGAGAAATGATAAAGACAGAACCACACTGACTGTGCATATATCATTTCGAAAACACATTGTAGCAACGGACACATATGCAACCTACCAAGTTAACATGAACATAAACTTGATCCAGTTACCGTCACATATTACGTTCAGCCTCCAAGAAAAAGATGATGACAAAGTAAAAAGCAGATTTCTCCCCATTACTCAAGTTTGATCTCAAATTTCCTCAAATACAGCTATAATATAAAATTACACTATTAAATACTTTAGCAGCAATTCTTTAATTGAAAGTTGAAAACCTTCTTTTGAGTCCCTAACACGTGGAAGGGTTTTCCTTTGCAATTTTAAGACATTAAATTTGCCAGTGTAACATATTGTATTATGTTAGTTAGATTAAATATTTTAATTGCAGTTTGTTGTTATCATTAGTTATGTAGGCTACTTATGTGTGAAACCTGGTGAACATTATTGTGAGTAAAACATCTCCTCTAGCTCTCAAATATTTTACTGCCTTTCTTGAGTTTAATTCTGTTTCATGAAAAAACAGGTAAAGGCGGTGCTTACCATTGTTTGTACCCATGTAAAGTAAAATTGAGTGTTTTTTCTCTCTCTGGGACTCATCCCAGAACCTCGCAGATTTTCCCCAAGTCCAATCTGAGCCTGTGCAGGGTTTGAGGCCTGATGGTAGTAGCAAGGCTGGCCCGAGTCACCTACCATCAATCTCTGTTCAAATAAATGCTGGACTGGCAGGATAAAGCAGAACACCACTACTTCTTCCAGCAGAAGGCAAAGCCAAATTATGTCCTTTAATACGTATTAATATCATGTACAGTATTATGTATAACCGTTGAGTAGGTCCCATTCACATGTTGATTCAAAGAGCTCAAAGAGATAAGATGTTGACTACATGAACAAGGCACAACTCCATCCTGTCACCCACCTTTAGTACCAAACACCTGCACCCTCTTTACAGACACTGTCTCGCACTTCAGAGGACAATCAGAAGCCCTGACCTGTACTGCTAAAGGATTTCAACTTTAAAAGAAAGCAATTGATGCTAAAGTATTTATGTATTGTGTTTGTTGCTGCAAACACATGGTCCTGAGTATAGCTGCCTCGGTGTTAGGTGTACTTTGTTTTGTTTTTGTTTGTTAATTCAGTTTTCAGCTGTGATTCTCTGTGCTCTTTCACCAGGGAGGAGCTCATGAACATCAGGGGAACAACTCCAGCGGATTTAATTCCCACTTTTCTTGCTTCATCAGTGGAATTATTGGATTTTTTTTGTGAAGGGCTCGCTCGCTGTCCTTCGCTGTGTGAAGCGCCACAGGAGAGGGAAAAGAGCCGGGTCGCTTGTGCGTCTGGAATATCATTCACCCAAAGTCCTCCCTCCATAAACGATTCTCGCCTGGCAAATGAGCTGAACCAGTTCTATGGCTGCTTTGAGAGTCAATCGGACACAATCCCCTGTGACTCCTCCGCTTAGCTTCAACCTCAGTCCACCACTTATTCCCCTCCCTCCTCAGAGCTGGCCAGCTCCACCCCCTCCCCTCCTCTCTCCATCACAGAGAGGGAAGTCTACGGACTTTTCAGGAGGCAGAAACCCCGCAAAGCAGCTGGGCCGGACTCTGTCTTCCCATCCACCCTGAAACAGACATTTTTAACACCTCACTGGAGACATGCCATGTGTCAGCCTGCTTCAAAGCCTCCACTATCATCCCTCTCCCCAAGAAACCAAGGACCACTGGACTAAATGACTATAGACCCGTCGCCCTGACATCTGTGGTTATGAAGTCCTTTGAACGCCTTGTGTTGTCCTACCTTAAATCCATCACAGACCCACTCCTGGACCCCCTGCAGTTCGCCTACAGAGCCAACAGGTCTGTAGATGATGCAGTAAACATGGCCCTTCACTTCATCCTCCAGCACCTGGACTCCCCAGGAACCTACGCCAGGATCCTGTTTGTGGATTTCAGCTCTGCTTTTAACACCATCATCCCGGCCCTGCTGCAGGACAAGCTCTCCCATCTGAACGTGCCTGACTCCACCTGCAGGTGGATCACTGACTTCCTGACGGACAGCTGGGAAAACATCTGATTCCAGGACCATCAGCACCGGTTCCCCTCAAGGCTGCGTTCTTTCCCCCCTTCTCTTCTCCCTGTACACCAGCAGCTGCACCTCCAGTCACCAGTCTGTCAAGCTCCTGAAGTTTGCAGACGACACCACCCTCATTGGGCTCATCTCAGGTGGGGATGAGTCCGTCTACAGGTGGGAGATCGACCATCTGGTGACCTGGTGCAGCCAGAACAGTCTGGAGCTCATCACTCTGAAGACAGTGGAGATGGTCGTGGACTTCAGAAAGAACTCAGCCCCACCCTCCCCCATCATTCTGTGTGACTCCCCAGTCACCGCTGTGGACTCGTTCTGTTTCCTGGGCACCATCATCTCCCAGGACCTCAAGTGGGAGCTGAACATCACCTCCCTCACCAAGAAGGCCCAGCAGAAGATGTACTTGCGGCAGCTGAAGAAGTTCAGCCTGCCAAAGGGTGCGTTCCGATCGCCCAGTAGTTCCCCGCAAAGTGGACTGCACAGGGTATTAAGCCATTTTAAGTGAGATTCCAAACCGCAGGGAGCACACTATGTTCAGTTCAAAGGGCACTGTGAATTGTGTAGGTGTGGCAGGATGAGGTTTTCTTTCCCTCCCTCTTACCTGTGCACGAGAAGGCGCACCAGCACACCTGGGGCTCATCCCTTTTGACTGGGAGAGGTGGGGAGCTGCCTTTTTAAGCCTGTGTGGTGGACTCATTTGCGTTTCTGTCTTCTCCTGTTGGGTGTGGAGACGTGTCTGGGCTGGCGTGCTGCACGTTTGTTGCCGTTGCGAGAGGTTGTTAGTTTACTGCGGAGTGGTAAGGAAGTCTTTTTATCTTCATGCCTTTCAGTGTTTGCATTGTTGGGCGGGTGGCACTAATGAGCATTCTCTCATAGAGCCAACTTTGTTTCGGCCGTGGATATTCTCCGTATGGATAGATGAATACCTGGGCTGCTGGCGTTGGGTGCCTCGGTAAGCTGCATGCCTCCCTCTTCGTTCTATTTGGTGTTTATCAAGATCTGACAGTCTTATTTGTTATAGTTGAGTGCTGTGTGGTTGCGCGTATTGCTTGCCCCCCTGCCGGGGTCTGAGGGTGGCGTGTCCCGTAAAGCGGTAAGTACCTTGTTTGCCTGTCTGCTACAATTTATTGTGGCCCTGTTTTTAATTGTATGTTTTCACATCACAGCGGGACCAGGTTACAGCCGTGTGCATGCTGCTGTCGAGGCTGCTGGGTGCCACAGTTATCACTCCCCGGCGCGTTTCTCCTCCCACTCTTCTGGATATCGGTATAAAACTTTGCTGTATATTGTTACAAACAGTGTCTGGATATGACTGTCCTGGATGCACAGAACTGGTTTGGAACGATACATTTTAAGTGTTTGAATATCCAGACATTGGCTCTGTAAATATTGGTATTAACTGGATGTATATTGCATGTGGGTTTGTTTGTGTTTGATTTTGATCCTTTAATTATGCATGCGGGTCTGTTTTTGAATGGTGCTTGTGTTTTTTTTTTGTTTAGTTTTCTCTAATTCGCATTACATATCTTTTCTTAATAGAGCAGGTGTTGCTATTAATATATGACAAAAGAAAATAAAATTGTGTTTTTTTATAATTATTTGATTGTCTCTGCCTCCTAATTTTGATAGAACAATCTGTGTGCTTCAAAGGTCTTGGGCTTATCCCAAGTGCCATTGTCGGACATTTTCAGCTTCTCGAGTGTTCTAGACCGCTCGTTTCTGCCACATAGGGAAGAAGGGAACAACGGTTCATTGCTTCGCAGGAAGTTGTCAAAGATTACCCATAAGCCTTTGCAACTAACAATAGAGGAGACCACGGTTTGTATATCTGTAATTATTGTCGTTGTAACTAATGTTTATGATTATTTCAGAGGTTAAGTTGCCTAAAGACAACAATGCTCATATGAATCTTTGTAAGAATGACGCTGCATATGTTGTAAATTAATCCACTCACATTCATTCACAAGTTTCATACATTTTAATAGAATATAAATAGAAGTATGGAAATATACATTTTGTAATTGTATCAGTTTGTTTTAATGTATATTTAATTTCAGTAAATGTCCACAGTAGCAGCGGGTAGGCCTATCCGAGGTGTTTACGTTACCAGGGTAACACATGGCGAACTGACGTGTGCTTTGATGATGCAGGGAGTACTGTTTATGTACACAGGTACGGTTTACAAAGCATGTATATATGATGCATGAGATGGCTATTGTACGCAAAGTGGCGATTTTGCATGTGTATGATACACTACAGTTTGCTATAGCGTTGCAACACAAAGGAGGCTAACACACAAGACATAATGACTTAGGTTTAGGCACTATCTCCTGTTAGGGTAAGTTGCCTTGGGGGACTGTGAACGCCTCAAACATCTCTAGCTAGCAACCCCCAGGGGCGTCATATACAGACGCGCCTGGATGCGTCTCATACACACGCACCTTGGGGGCGTCTCCTATACATGCAAAATTAACGGGTTTTTTGCGTCAAATGAATACGCTTGACAAGCGTTTATATATAATGCCTGGCATGAGAACAGGCTGGATAACAGCTGCGCAGAGGCGGTATGGGGCCAAAAACTTCTGGCGGCGCCTCTGGAGAGAAGTGAGAGGGCTCCAAGAGCGCTTTGTAGGGCTGGGAGGCAGTGGTTTCCAGAATACAGCTCTGAATAAACGCGGTTGGCAGACACAAGATCATTTATCACAGGTTTTAAAAATACTAGACAAATGAAATCTACTTTCATTTAAGTGCAAGACTTGGCCGTTAGCACTGAAGGTGAATTGGCGAACTGGCGAGTTGATTGCTTGATAGACCACAGGTGTGAGACGCAGCAGATGTTAATCAGCCAGCATTTGTCTCTAAAGGCTCGTGCAGACTACACGACTGGCCGTCTTGGGAGTCATGAAGTTATTGTGGCGTTCACACTACGTGATCGGTGACAGACTGATCGATCACTGATTTAGCCCAACGGTCACTGAGCTCGGTGACCGGCAAATCAGACTTAAAATTGTGTAGTGTGAACTAGGCTTAAAGTAACCACTAATAGGGCTGAAACAATTCATCGATAAAATCGATTAATAAAATGCTTCGACACAAATTCTTTGCATCAATGCTTTGTTTGACCATTTAACTATACAGCACAGTGTTTCGCAGGGACATTTATTACTGTCGCACATCACACTTAAACTGTGATGGGCTGGTGATGGTGCAATGGATAAGATACCTGCCTTGGTGTGAGAGACCAGGGTTCAATCCCCCACTGACCCATACACCATTTGTCCCTGAGCAAGTCACTTAACCTCTAGTTGCTTCAGAGGCGTGTGACATAAAATAGCAATTGGTCGCTTTGGATAAAACCGTCAGCTAATTGAATAAATGTGATTATGATGGAGCTGTTTGCAAAGTGGAGGAAGAGAGAGAGAAAATAGCGAGGGACAAAGAAAAAAGTGTCTAAAGTATGTTATTATTTCAAGCTAAAGACAACAAGTCTGTAATGTTACCGTCACTCCACCCAGCCCGTTCTCATCTCAGGGCGTCATATAGCAACGATTTGAAAAAGTGACAAAGCGTATTTGACTCTAAAGGTACCCTGAAATCAATCAGTGAGACGCACCGCTGGCTGAAAGCGTCAGTTATGACGCATTGAGATGAGAACGTGTTGGTCCACCATAAAACGAAACTTGTGTGCCTCGGGAACAGCACTATGGCACCTTATCAGAAAGCAGCCGGTGTTCTGCCAGCTGACCACAGACAAGGTAACAGCAACTTTAGCATTTATCATGATTGATTGTTGAGTCGCCGCAATCCTCAGCTGAAAATGTTCAAACGTGCGTTCTCCTTTTTGGCCCATGAGTTGTTTCCTCACAGTCATGAGTTAACTGGGTGTCAGGGAGCTGCACCTTTTAACTCACCTGCAGCTCTCTCTGTAGCTCAGACATTTCCTGCTACCTGCATGTGCTAATCCATCCTTAGTTATAATAACAAACAGCTGTTTCGTGTGCAGGATCGCTCATTTCCAGTTTCACATTTCAGGTGTTTTCTTGGCAAAACGTGGTTTGGAAACCAGGGTCCGGTGACACGGCCATCAGCTCGTGTGTGTGTGTCCCTGTCACCGATCAGTCACATAGTGTGAATGCAACAAAGACTTCAAGACTGCCATCCATTCCATATTTATTATATTTCTACATTTATATGATTATAAATGTTATAAGCTTATGAGCATAAGCTTAATTTGTTTTCAGCTATAAATTAAACTCTGGAAAACTTTGGCTGAGAATCAAATTCAGCAGATTGTTGTTGTTTATTGGTTTACTATTAAAACCTCCGAACCTTGTGAACAACTATTTAAACTGGGTGCATTTAGTGACTGAGCATCCCGTCCAGCTTCTCAGTGCACATTGTCCAACACCAACTAAGCCTTTTATTATAGAGATGTAGCCAACCAAACCACTTGTTTTGCAGTAGCAGCCTGCCAATACAATCTGATTATTCCTGAAGAATCTAAATAATCTTCACAACGCAAAGAATTATTGTGGCAACACGAGAGCAGCTCCTTGTTGAAGCAGGTAAACCTGCATACAGAGGAAGCTGTGCGTCATGCATAAAACACAACACGACTGTCCACCATATTCTCTCTCTCTCTCTCTGTGCATCTGAAAAATCAAATAACAGCAGGTAGCTGCTGAGTGAAAGATTAGTTTCACCCGCGACATTATGGACTCACCTTTGCATCTGCCCAGCTCTGTGACTGTGACAAGCGCCCGACCAGCGCTTTACTGCGTAACTGCGCGCACACAGCCTGGATGATCATTTCAGTTAATGAAGCAAAATGCAGATTACAGACTGGTTAAGTTATAAAAGGTATGAATGGAAAATGTAGCGAAATTAAGAGCAGTCCTACATTAGATGTACCCACCCCTGCTGCCTTCAGCTAGAAGTAACAGCAGCACAAAGAAGAAGAAGCTGCACCGGCCTCGAGCAACTTTTTTTTCTCCCTCAACATTTCTATACATTTTGTCCGCGACTGATGTGGAGTGTGTGAGTGATTGATTGGTCACTTAAACCGCCTCCTATATGAGCCTGAGCCAGGAAGGCAATGCGCAAAAAAACTTTACATTAGGAAAGAGGGGGGGGGGGGGGGGCAAAACATAGATTTTGAAATGAAATGTGTATAATGCTTCCTCTCTGCCTGTCAGGTGATGACCTCACCACAAATCCACACAAGTTGATTTCAGCGCCTCTGATAAAGTGCAGCTCACAGCTGCTTCAGGTGGAGCAGAGAGGACAGACACAGAGCTACAGCTGGATCATTTTATTCTCTGCTAATTTGCAGGAGAATAAATAATATTCTGTGATAAATGTATGTTGGTGATAGATCTGCACAAATGTTTGTTGTTAATACTCCTACTGATTATTATTATTACTACTAGTAATAATAATAATTATTACTAGTAGTAGTAGTATCCATTATTGTTAATAGTAGTTGCAACTTGCACTCTTATATGTGCATTAAAAATTACCAGCTGATAAAAACCTGTGCTCCAGGGACCAGATTCATGTAACATCTAAGGTTTAAAAGTTTCTCTTAGCTGGCTGAGTTAGATGGTGATTAATACTAAACGGTAGAAAATCAGACCAGTCTCCCCAAATGTCATTGGCTGTTAAAGTCTTGTGTTGCTTATAATAAACTAGCATGTTGATAACACATTAGAAATCTTTCAGAATGCTGTCAATTACATGAAGATGCATACTGTATGCAGTAGTGAGTGTGGTGTTGCTCTGGGACAGGTGAGTATGAGGCTGGGAGGGAAAAATCATGGTTTACTCACTACAAAAACGAGACTATACCACTGCTCTGAAGATAAAATCACAACTTCACACAGAGTATCAGGCGTCTGCAGTTTATTTCATTCACATCCTACAAATCATGTACATTTGTCTTCCATCTGATACTACATCAGACATGTAGCCACTAGCACTAGTTTACTACAGTGTTGATTAATGTGCATTGTCCCTGTAAAATAAATAAATAAATCTGAAGCCACGCAAAGGACACTTTATTTTATCCAGTGTCCCGTCATCATAACAAATGAAATCAAACAAAAAGTACAAAAGTAAAAAGAAAAACTGCTCAGTCTGAATATTCAACCATTTGTGACTGAACAATTTTCTGGTTGTTAATTCTGCATTGAATAATTTTTAACATTAAGGTGATGCGTTAATTTTATATGCGTACATGTTAGTTGCTGATCAATTTTGAAAGTGTCATTCAATAGTAAACATACTAACTGAATAATCACAGATTGAAGGCTTTGGGTGTCCCAATTTTTCAGTTGTATATTTTCCTCATACAGGAAGAATGTGAGTACAGATGTAGATGTGAGTATAGATGTGTGTGTCAAAGCGGCAGAAGTTAAGTGGGAGGGGAAGAAGTGGTTAAGTTTTCTGGCATTGGCAGTGTTTTGCTTGGGTTTTGTAGAACTCACTAACGGTTGTTTGGAGAGGACACTGTGTTTCAGGAAAGGCTACTATCTTCAGTTCTTCCTGAAGTTTTTGCAGAGTGATGGTGGGCAGATACTTGCGTTCAGGTTTATCAGGAACATTGTCACCCCAGTGCGCGCTTGCGATCCATTTCTTCTTTTTGGAGTCGTAGCAGCAGAATGCTGACCAGAGCTTGTCAGGAATATTAACCCTCTTATTTAGTTTGGTGTTGGGGTCGGTGCTTGGGTTGGGTATTGCTCCAGTTACAACATAGGCTTTAGTAACAGCGTTGTTGTCTTTGCAGTATTCGTCCATAATACATTTGATGCACTGCTCCATGCTGCTCCAGCTTCCGCTGTTGAATGATATTGCTTGTGGAACGATGTTTGTCAGGGTAAAGGTGGATTTTTTGTCAGATTCAGTTAACCCATATGAGCTTGGAATTATATGGCCCCTGTTAAATTTTTTGTCTTTGTCTATGTAATCCTTTTCCACAGCCTGGTTCTTGTAGGTCTTGCCGTTGTCGTTTGCCATGTCCTTGTTCGGGTCATCTTTATTCTCAAGCTGTAAGAGTTAAACACTAAGTTACTGATCCAGGTAGAGTAGCAATAAAGTAAACGTACAGTAAAAATATCCTTTAGCATTTATGTAAAGCTGCACAGAAAGGCTAAGCCTGATATCTCTTCTTCCTCTGAGCCATAAAGCTCCAAGGATGTCCAAAAACTATTAAGACACACCACTGAGCCTCACTGTGCAACACATTATTGTTTAGTAGGTAAGAGTAGCATTTCAACTGATGGCGTAAATGGATTAGCAGCAATTACTTTTTAGTTTTATTGTTTTAGTTTGTTTAGTTTTTTATTTGTAAATAAGAAAAACACACCTGTGGCTCTATCATCCATTTCTTTGGTCTGTTGAATTTTAACCCCTCTTGTTTCCCTGTGTACTTGTAGGCAGAAAACACAGGAATCATGTTCTCTGTGTCGTAGAGCGTCAGAAACTTTCTCTCATTTTTATAAGTCTGACAAATTAATTTGTATCGGGTCTGGCCTATTTTCCCGCCCTCCAAGATGCCTGGGACATGTGGTGGCTTTGCTTCAAGGAGAAACTGGTCACAGTCGGACACCGACTCAACAACTTCAGCCACTGTGGGAACAATGGGCAGGAAGGCAGCGAGGAGCAAGAGATACCACATCTTCATGGACGTCATCGTCAAACACTGTGTCTTTAGGTCAGAAGGGAGAAAAACAACCATCAACATCAGAGCAGGACTTTTTCTTACACCCACTTGGTTCAAAGGATACCCTTGTATATTTTAATATCTGACTCAGTAAAAAAGACTAAAACTATAAAGTCTACAGAAATAATTTTTCCAAAATGTTCAGAGCTATGATATTAATGAAGGTAGTTATGAAGTTTTGCTTTTTCTTTCTAAAATCTATCTTTATTGTTAATGGAGAAATCTCTGAATATGCCTAGAAGTGATGTCAATACCCAGATCATGGCTGTGGTACCTATGTTTTGACAGAAAAATAATATTTTTTTCATTTATAAAAGTTTTACATCAAGTTTTAAACAATAATCACAAATTTAAATCAAACTGTTGAAAACATTTACTTCATGTACACTACATATAACAATAACAGCAGTGCTGCAAATAAGTACTCGCTGAAGTTTCATTGTCAACTGTAAAGGTAAAAAGCGTAAAATGAATATAAAATAAGTATAAACAAGGAAAAAAAACATACCACCTCGTTTACAGGTGTCTTCGCGTTTGTGCAGCAGTGGAAACCAGACGGACTTCCTCAGAGATCAAACAAGCTTGTAGAGGCTGATTTATACAGAACACGTTTATGACAGTGGATGAGAAGATATGCTAATGTTTGGTAGTAGATTACACTTAATCTGCGTCCACACAGAGACGTCACGCTATTCTTGTGTTCAGTACACACTGACTGCTCAAAGAAAAAAATTCAAAAGACGCTTTGCATAGAGATTACCACGAAATGAAAAAAGTGTGGTTACTTTGATGGATAGGAACAATTTAAACTGACACAATCAGTCAAGTACAAGTCGTAGAAAGACAATAACTGTCTACAGCCAACTATTGCACCAGTTCAAATTTAGACCTGATAAATTATCTCAGGTAAGTTTTTTAAAGCAAGTCATCTTGAAACAACTCATGCAGCTAACATTAGCTTAATTAGCTATCTCCAACTGATTAAATCTGTTAGTGACATTTCTGTTGGAGAAGATCAACGATAACCAGCTGGAAATTAAAAGATGCTTTTGTCTGCCTGCCTCTGTCTGAACTTATATTTGCATTTATCTCACAGCACCACTGGGCCTAAATACAGCCTCACATAGCTGCTCGCATGACTTCAGTCTCATTACAAACATACATGACATGCGCCTCAAAGCTAACTTTTGATCAAACTGAAAGTGTTAAAAAAGCTTAATGACACCGAAATCATTTACTTTCTCTCTAGAATACTTTTAATATTAATTGGCAGCATGTGACTGTAGTTACATGAAAACAGATTTGCACTGGAACTAAATTTCAGCCAGTGGAAATAAACAACAAAAAGAAAGCTGACGATCCTTAAATGTCTTTACTGGGAGGAAAATGAAGCTTCATATTGTTTGTTGTGGCTTGATATACTTTTGTTTGGTGAGGCAGCTCTCTTTAACACTGTCAAAGCACTTGATGCCCGTGTCCGACTGGGAGGAAACACGCTGGATCAGGTGTTCATTACGAGAGCACATTACGTGTTTCAACATCACTGTAAGTTCACGTCGGTCGTCCAGAAACAGATCCAGCCTGTTGTGAACGCAGCCTCAGTTTCTACATCTGTCTTCATTCGATGAACCGATGTGATTGGTGGAAGAGTGGACTACAGCTGGTGTGATTGGTAAATCATCTCCATCTGATTGGCCAGTTCCAGACACTGTGAATACTATTACACTGTGTTCTCTGTGTTGGGGCCAACATGGCCGACACAGTTTGCGTGGATGGTGGAAGCAGCTGATTGGTCAGCTGATCAGTTTGGGGGAGGGGTGTCACTCTCCAGAGCGTCGGAGATCATCGTGCAGAGCTTATGGAACGATGGGCGCTCCTCCGGTCTCTGAAACGGAGCAAGAAAACACAAACCATAAAGTCATTATTTCAAGCTGTGACCTTCAGAAGTGTAGCAGAGGTTAACTGAAGCCGTCTGTGCGTTCCTGCAACAATGAAGTGCTGCAGCGCCACTGTCTTTGTCTTTCAACTTTCTGTCTGCACTGGACGCTGGAGCCACTCGTGTGGTTCATCACCTGCATTTTAGCAAATATCTGACCAGCCAGATAAACACTTTCTTCTACGGCTGTCTGACAACACTGACCGCTCTTTATGTTATAGCTAATCCTTAATTACATCAGTTCTCCCGCACTGCTCTGGGATCAGCTGGTCATATTACAGTTATAACAGTCATGTTGACTGGTCAGAAATCTGAAGCCAATTAAGACTGAGTCTGATCTACTATAACGTCAAGTAACTCACATGCAACACTATCAGTAACCACCTGTAGACCACCTGTCGTAGACATGCACGAGTGTGCATTTTAATTAGCTGTTGTCTAGTATTCTTGTCTTTGATCTCACATGTCTGACCTCGACCACCTTGTTTAGCTGGCTTTAGCCTTCACACTGGTGGGCGATATCGCTGCACAGCCTAGCTATCGCTAAATGTTCCTGCAACTGAGTGTTTTTCTTTAGAAAGCCCTATAACTGTGATGTGGTTGATAAATGAGATAAGAGGGAGTGATGCGATGGAGGGTGAAGGAGAAGAAAGTCATACTGATCAGCCATCGGCAGCAAAGAGGTAACAATCAATCACCTGCTTCATATGGGGACGTCAAAAGTGTCTCTGTTGATCTTTTCTCTCCGTGCCCTTTTAAATACTTAATCTATAAGTTCTGTATATATGTCTCATTATCATTAATAGTTAATAAAATATGATGAATTTTTACAACCTTGTCTGTAAAAACTACACATTCTCACCTGTCACATATTGACACTTGGTCAAGACCCCTCGGCGTCACTTTTTGACACCCTGGGTATCCCTTTGGTGTCACTTTTAGACGTTTAGGGCTCCATGGTCAAGTTTTCCACAATAACATATCTTATATTATATTATATCTCATATCTGTCCACTTACATTTTCAAAATAAAAGTACTTGTTAACGTTGTGAAATGCTGCAATTTGGTCAGTTTTAGCACCAAAACTACTTTGTTAGGTTTAGGAAATTATCATGGTTTGGGTTAAAAAATATGTTATGTACCTCAGTTAGCTTATGGAAGTTTAGTGGCATTACTTGGATAACTTTCGCAACTGACATAACCTATGTAACTTAAATAAAAAGTGTCAGTGTTGACCTTTTGTTTCACACGGGAAACAAACACCGGTACACCTTCCTTTAGCATTCAAAAGTGACTCTAAAATATTAGGTGAACTATGACGCTAAGGGACTCCCCAGTGTGTGACAAGCTGACGCCAACAGATCTTGACCATGCATCCATATGTGAGTGAGAACGGGTTGTTCAAAATGATGGAAAATGAGAGTCTACCACAGCCTCTGATCAGAATGGGTTGGTATTTGGGTTTTATTATGTGTTTAACAGAATATCATAACACAATTCAAACATGTGTGTGCAATATTTCTTCATCCAACACAGAGTCACAGAGGAGACTTGTTAGTTATTTGGTACTGAGTCAATCTGTTGTTCCTGCTGCCTCCATGTGGCCAAAAAAAAAAATTAAACAATCAAGCCAACAAGTTGATTGTTTGTAAACAGGAAGCCTGTCATTACCCACTACCATGTGCATTTTTCAGCCTAAATTAAAAGTACAGGTCAAAGCTGCACACTAAAATGAACTAAGAAAGGCTGTTTATAAAGTTGGGCTGACAGGACAGCATTTCACTTTAGTATATGTTGAATAAAATGCGGTTCTCACCTCGTGCCAACACATCTGCATGATGTCATAGATGGCGGACGGGGCCATTTTGGGTCTGAAGAGGCGGTGACCCTTTGTTACCAAGGTAACCACCTCGTGGTTCTGACTCTGTTCAAACGGCATTCGCCCCTCAGTGAAAACCTCCCAAATCAACACACCTGGAGACACAAACGATGGAGGTTTAATAAGAGTCGGGAGCTTCACTGTCGAAACTCTCAAGGGTTAGTTTGTAGTTAACAGATGCTAAATGTATAAAAATAAGATCAACATTTGAAAATAAAGGAACAGCAGCCTCTTCCCACAGAGTAGCGGCTGATAGTGATGTTAAGCCTACCGTAGGACCAGACGTCTGACTTGCTGCTGTATTTGCAGAAGTTAAAGACTTCAGGAGGCGACCACTTCACAGGAAACTTAGCACCCGATGAGCTGGTGTACTGGTCGTCTAACACGTATCTACAAAATGCACATCAGCAGTTTAGTGTGACAAAGTGCCATCTTTCTCCCTCCTGACTTGTTTTAAGTCAGCGGTCTAGATCAAAGATGATCGACACGTAGTGTACAAGTGTTGGGATTAAACTCGTACCTGGCCATCCCGAAGTCCGACACCTTCACCACCAGAGAGTCATTTACCAGACAGTTTCTGGCCGCCTGCAGAAGAGACGGAAAGAGAAAGAAATAAGAATAAGGAAGACAAAGAGAATGTTTTTCACTCTATTTGTTTTGTTTGAATTTAGCTTTGCTAACAGCATGGAGCCATTTACGCCTGGTATTAATATGCTTCTCCAGTGTCCACGTTGAGATCTAATTGCTCTGTCCAGCTCAAACAACCAAACGTCACATCCTCCTCTTGTTTGCGCCGGTCCAAAAAAAAAAAGTTCTATAACTAGAAATTGTATAAAAACTTTCTGAACTTTCTCTGAGCCGGCTTTCCACTGAAGTGCGCCGATGTCATGGCTTAGCCGGAAAGCAAAAAGTAAGTTCCACCTCGTTACCTTGCACTACCTTTCTTCACATTGTGTACTCCTTTCTGTATCTATATTTTAGTAGTTTGTGTTTATTTTAACTCAACGACTCATGACTTTACATTTACAAACAGATGCATTCAGTTCACCGTTTAGCATCAACAGGTTATGTTAGATGATGATCACAATCTGTCCTCAATTTACACCTGTAATTTCATGTGGTTAAGTGCATTGCAGTCCAATCACATATTAGTGCCTGGTCTGGTCTGGGCTGTGTGTGTCGGTCCAAACTCAGTTCAGACAGTAATGGTGTATAAACAATGAATCATAGTGACTTTGGTGATCCTCTGCCTTTTACTGTGTACATCATAAGTACAGCATGGATGTAGACTCAAATGTACAAATAGGCTTCTTCTTAGGACCTGACAGATTAAATGGTTCTTGTCCATCAGTTTAACCACACTATTTTAATTTTACAGTTATCTCTATGCAAAATGTCTTTAAGTATCTTCAGTCAGTTTGAAGTCAACAGAAGAACATTGTGAAGTCTCTCTGGGGACAGAGATTAAAGAGATTAGTAATCTATTACTACACAAGCTCGTTTGATAAGGACGTCACGTTAACATTGTCTTTATGAGCATGTTAGCATGCTAATGTTAGCATTTAGCTCCTGAGTACAGTACTGTGCCCGAGTACAGCGTCAAAGAGATGCTAGGATGGCTGTAGACTCTTTAGTCACTTTTAAAAGTGGTAGAAAGTAAAACCAGAGATTGCAGAAAAACAAATTTCTCATAATTTGCAGACCACTGAAAATATATTGGTCGCAGGGAACTGTGGAGAACGAGTCAAATTACAATTGAGGCCTCCACAAGAAAACTGGGTAAAGCTGCTAACCATATGCATATTTAGCCCTTTTAAGCGGATCACTAAT